AAAAACAAAACAAACAAAACGTACTTTACAAATCTGACAAACAAGTAGTCATCTATAGTGTAGATTACAATTCTAGATGGACGCTACCATACTCCGTGAATAAACTTGGTATGACATAAGTAGAAACAAATTGGATGTGAACCATTGTATGCAAATAAAACACAAATTTCAACGGACACGATGTGCAATGAAATGATGATAATCTTTTCTATCCATAAAATGCTGCTCAAGTATTATTAACAGGAGGTTTATACAGATGCCGCTTACGCCACTCAAGACGAGTGTGACGTGTTGTGTAATTAGTGATTCTAATCACGGTGAGTTGTATTAAGGTGACCACATACCTGAATGGTATACATTACTAACTATGGTAACGCATGTATTTGCTATTTGAATCAATGATTACCTATTATTATATTATAATGGTATTTACTGGTTTGTACAAACCAGATGAAGAAGGTCTCTTTCTAATTTAACATGTAATTGAATCAAGTTAATCACCTTAAATAACATCACCCCCATTCCCATGGTAACGCTTACACTATTATTTCCCCGACCAATACTAGTATGTAACAAGTTTGAAATAGAAGACGTTTGTGCTTGTTTACCGATGGACTTAGCGACACGAGCGGTACTCTTATCACTGATTTGTTTAGTATCAGTGGGTCTCAATCTAACGGAAACAACACTGACAGTGACACTTATCCGAGTGCTTGTGGTTATGTCGATCCGAATAAAAATAATTAATGTTTATACCATAAATCGGAGACAATGCAGATAAAATACTGATGCGGACGTAAACCTCGATAATAACTGATAAACAAACAAAAAATAACAGCGCGTCTAACAACATTTCCATATTAACGAGTCGTGTCAGAGAATTTTATTATATATACATGTTTACCATGATGAAAGAACAACGCTAATGCTAATTGTATTAGAATAGCGCACTGTGTTCATATTCTTCGTCCAAACTCATGGAATATCGATTTTCCTGGTGTAAATAAAAACAAAATCAAAACCTGAAAATTTATGTTAGCTTCACTGATTAACACACCGGGGAGACTGTTCGTGTGGTGCTTTATAAGAAGAAACCGCAGTTTGAAGTTAACCTGCCTGGTAAGTTTTAAAGCTGGTGTTTTTGTTTTTTTAAACGAAGCTGACAACAACAACAACGACGGACAATCAGAAGTAATAATTCCCAATACATTGGTGAACTGATTGCGAAATCATCTAAACGCGAAAAAACTCTGCTACTGGTACAACATTGAGGATAATAAGTTCAAATATACTATGATACTGTTATTGAAGATCAAATATGCCATGATTACAGTGTTACTCAGTTTAAATATACCATGATAGTATTACTGCAGTTTAAATATACCATGATAGTGTTACTGCAGTTTCAATATACTATGATAGTGTTACTGAAGCTTAATCATATCCACGGACAGTGTTACTAAAATTTAAATATACCATGATAGTGTTACTGCAGTTTAAATATTCCATGATAGTGTTACTGCTGTTTAAAAATACCATGACAGTGTTACTGCAGTTTAAATATACCATGACAGTGTTACTGCAGTTTAAATATACCATGACAGAGTTACTGCTGTTTAAATATACCATGACAGTGTTACTGCTGTTTAAATATACCATGACAGTGTTACTGCAGTTTAAATATACCATGACAGAGTTACTGCTGTTTAAATATACCATGACAGTGTTACTGCTGTTTAAATATACCATGGCAGAGTTACTGCTGTTTAAATATACCATGACAGTGTTACTGCTGTTTAAATATACCATGACAGTGTTACTGCAGTTTAAATATACCATGACAGAGTTACTGCTGTTTAAATATACCATGACAGTGTTACTTCTGTTTAAATATACCATGACAGAGTTACTGCTGTTTAAATATACCATGACAGTGTTACTGCTGTTTAAATATACCATGGCAGAGTTACCGCAGTTTAAATATACCATGACAGTGTTACTGCTGTTTAAATATATAGTGCTATGATAGTGTTTCTGAATTTTAAAAATACCATGACAGTGTTACTGCAGTTTAAATATACCATGACAGAGTTACTGCTGTTTAAAAATACCATGACAGTGTTACTGCTGTTTAAATATACCATGACAGTGTTACTGCAGTTTAAATATACCATGACAGAGTTACTGCTGTTTAAATATACCATGACAGTGTTACTGCTGTTTAAATATACCATGGCAGTGTTACTGCTGTTTAAATATACCATGACAGAGTTACTGCTGTTTAAATATACCATGACAGTGTTACTGCTGTTTAAATATACCATGGCAGTGTTACCGCAGTTTAAATATACCATGACAGTGTTACTGCTGTTTAAATATATAGTACTATGATAGTGTTTCTGAATTTTAAATATATCATGGCAGTGTTACTGCAGTTTAAATATATAGTACTATGATAGTGTTTCTGAATTTTAAAAATACTAAGTATACCGAAGCAACTTGATAGTCGGAAGTGTTAAGTTATTGTCACATTTCACATAGTGTGCTGAATTGCAAGATGGATTGTTAACAAACATCCAATTTTGTCGTTAAAGGTCTTGTAATATTTGTCTTGTCACGGTGAAAACTATAACGCACAGCCTGAGGCACAGTCCCTCGTCACGGTTGACATGCCCCCTTTATGACGTAGGCATTGGCATTGTACTATCAAGACATACCACTCTATATATACTATAGTGAAATTCGACAACAATTTGGTGTATGTCCTACTCGTTACGGACTCCAACCGTAATTGGAATATCTATACGCTTCGAACACAATGACTTGTTGTTCACAGCAGTGGTATTGACGTCCTTTACAACGCCCTTTAAACGCTCCAGTGAATTCGCTTGAGTAAAAATCAGGCCATCGGACATGAAGACCGTTTGGTCGCAGCATTAATTTAAAGTAATTTCTCCAATCAAATATTTCACGTTGAAAGCATATTTTCTTGTGTACACATGTATTAGTTAGAGTATTATAAGACTACTTAACACCAAACATATGTTTCTTCTCATTGAAATTATCATAGGATGTCTACTTTAAATTACGCTCATTTGCTCTTTATGTATTTATATGTGTGTTCCCTGTACGTTGACTAAATTGAGTTCTGTTATTTCAATATGGTACAATAGTGACACAGCATATGGGCAGATCCCTTGCACTCAACTCACTACATGTGGAACACTTAAGTGTTTCAGAAAACACCTATTATCATAACAATTGATACACGCATCACTGTAGAGTCCATATTGCTAAGCAAACATACGGACCGTGGTCAAACGAGCCTACACTAGCGTGAAATGCCCAGTCGGTGCGTAGAACTTCACTTTGCGTGTATCACTCACAGCTATCACCCGTAGTCAGACTCATCAACGACTTAAGACACTGTACCTGTGGTCTCCGAGTAACCGTACATCATGGACAAGATAGCGGTGTTGTTGTTGTTATCTTTCTTATGTTCAGTAGTCGAAAGTGACGAGCCCAGGGTAAGTTATAAAATGTAACCACCATAAACACAATGTTGAATGTTAACATGCTATTGCCTCTACCACCGTAATAACATGTGCAGGTATATGAAATCACTGCTACGTGTTCACGACACTTTACTAACACTGGAACGTGCCAATCTTAACATAAATTGTTGTGTTTAATCAAATCGGCAGGATTAAAAATACGTGAATTTCGTCGTTCATGTGAGATAATACTAACACTAAAGACATACCTCACAGTTTAATTATATGTACACTGTTGAAATCCCACAATGTAGTTTTATGGTTATCCTTGAATAGTAAACTCGGTCCCTCTACTTGGATAATAGCTATGACATGTTTAACCTTCAATTGTACGCACAGTCTCGCAGGGCAGACCATGGTTATGTTGTTACTAACCTACAGGCGGGTGTGTGTTAAAAAAGCCGTTATGCCCCGTACATGTTTAGAATGACCACGTATCTTCTATAACGGTGTTGTATTTGTATCATTATTTTGAATTTACAATAACTAATCTAAGTTTCACGTTAAATTCAGTTATGCAAATCATCTACAGTATCTTGACAGATAAAACAAAATTAATGGGTTATATTTACTACTTATAAACAGACAGCGTATGTCGTTAGGGAGTATAAATGGAGCTAGCATCGGGTCATTTAAAATTGTTTCAGTATATGTCAGACATTTCCGCCAGAGACTGAAGTTTAGTTTAAGCTATCATTAGGCTATCATTTTGAGCTATCACACACACAAAAAAAAAACAACAACAACAAAAGACAACTCAGAAATCACAAAATCCAGCAAGATTCAAAATTCTGAAATAAAATATATCATCAAAAATGTGTTTTTAAATAATTTACAATTGCTTTCTGTGACAGAAACATTCTTTTATCTCCAAATTTTGTTCGATAACCAATCTCAAAAATATATATGATGTTATGATGGCTAAATATGACTAACACGAAAAATGCGAGAGTTTTGAATATTAGTATAAATTATCTATGGAATAATGTGTTTACATGGAATCCTATGGAAAATGTTCCAAAATGGCCGTTCTTTAGAATTATGAATATGTTTTGATGGAAAAACATCCTTTTCCCTCCGTAAAAAAGTTAAATATAAATAACGTGCATGTATGTGAATCGACGCACAATTTTTGTTTTGTTTTAAATGGTTTACTGTGATCGTATTTGTTCACGTTTAATGGTATCGAACTACCTTAATATGAGAACAGATTATTTGGGTTATGGGAACGTATCTAGCAAATGGTGACGAAACGTGCCTATAAAATGTAACGGCGAACGTACCCAACCTGTCGTCATTAATACATAAATTGCAGCCAGGAACACGTTGGAATACGGGCTACTGACCAACATAATCTGCTGTATGTTTGTAACTTCGTAATAGTAAAAATATAGACAACAAAGTTTTCAGTTGTTCAGTTGAAACGTTCGTGGAACGACTCTGGTGATTACGTTTTCACATGCTTAATATAAATCCACGAATGGCAATCACGATGAAAATGTACATATCCCACATTCCCGACTTCCAAATACCACCTGGCGACTGTAATGAAGTTAAATCACAAGTCAAGTTCAAACTCAATTCAATTTTCAGACTTAAAGACTCGCATAGCAACCATGCACAGCCATAGAAATTAATGCTGTACTTGTATAACACCCATATACACCCACGGACAAGAGTGTTATCCCCATCACAATACTTGTGACTTCTCGGTGGGGGCATTATCCTTACCAGTGCAATATCCAGATATTGTACCACATCAGTGCAATTTACATACAAAGATAATGACTAGGAGCGACTGAATGGGCTTGATATCGTGGCAATAACTTAATATGTGAATGTATGCCAAGAATTGAAACACACCCCGAAACACGTCGGATCCAGAAAATTATTCTCCCGGTTCCTCAGATTTTAGGGGATTTGTATGAACTCAATATATAAGTCGGATAATGTACTCGTAACCGTAGACCCGAGTGATGTTCAATATCTGAACGATTTCTCTCCCATTTGTACATTATCCGTTACATTTTATCCATATGAAGCCACTGACATGATCGTTATAATCACACAACACCCGTATGCAGCCACTGCCATGAGCGTTACACTTATATAAACCCGTATGCAGCCACTGACATTATCGTTATAATCACACAACATCCGTATGCAGCCACTGACATGAGTGTTACACTTATATAAACCCGTATGCAGCCACTGACATGAGTGTTACACTTATATAAACCCTTATGCAGCCACAGACATGATCATTATACTCATACAACACCCGTATGCAGCCACTGACATTATCGTTATACTCAAACAACACCCGTATGCAGCCACTGACATGATCGTTATACTCAAACAACATCCGTATGCAGCCACTGACATGAGTGTTACACTTATATAAACCCGTTTGTAGCCACTGACATTATCGTTATAATCACACAACATCCGTATGCAGCCACTAACATGAGTGTTACACTTATATAAACCCGTTTGTAGCCACAAACATGATCGTTATACTCAAACAGCATCCGTATGCAGCCACTGACACGATCGTTATACTCACACAATACCCGTATGCAGCCACTGACATGAGCCTTACACTTATATAACCCCCCGGGGGGGGGGCTACTTGCATAGAAGTGCAATACGGGTATGTGCCGCCCGACTGGGGTGTCATTTCACGTTATTTTGTTTAGAAGTGGGTAGTCATTTATCAATGGTTTGGTTTGGAAGTGTGTAGCATGTATTTACTTGTTCACAGGTCCTTATATTCAAAGCCAAATACCAGAAAACGCCGAATAAAATGCATCGCCGGAAGCACTCACTGGTTGCGAAAGTTGTGAGCTGGGTGATTTTTTTTGGCTGAAAACACTTGTGTTTAGAAGTGGGTATATAAATAGAAAAAAATGGTTTAGAAGTGAGCCCCCCGGGATATAAACCCGTTTGTACAACACCCGTATGCAACCACAGACATGATCGTTATACTCAAACAACACCCGTTTGTAGCCACAAATATGATCATAACGCTTATATAAACCCGTATGCAGCCACTGACATGATCGTTATACTCAAACAACACCCGTTTGTAGCCACTGACCCTGTTGTAGCCACTGACATGATCGTTATACTCAAACAACACCCGTTTGTAGCCACTGACCCCGTTGTAGCCACTGACATGATCGTTATACTCAAACAACACCCATATGTAGCCACTGACATGATCGTTTTACTCAAACAACACCCGTTTGTAGCCACTGACACGATCGTTATACTCAAACAACACCCGTATGCGGCCACAGACATAGGCGTTATACTCACACAACACCCATATGTAGCCACTGACACGATCGTTATACTCAAACAACACCCATATGTAGCCACTGACACGATCGTTATACTCACACAACACCCGTATGCAGCCACTGACATTATCGTTATACTCAAACAACACCCGTATGTAGCCACTGACGTGAGCATTAAATTTATATAAACGTTTTCGCCACTATCGTACTGGTGTAAAGCAGTATGGCAATCAGCTTTGTGGTTTATATTCACAGCAACACTTATTATATCTCTGATGGTAAAATAATGTTAGGATTTAGACATAGGCGCACTTGGTAAACATAAATACCATCGAAAAGCACAATGTTTACTGCTTCAATGTGACAGTCCCAGATTTTTTAACCATAACAGAGAACAGTGAACAGTAAAAAATATAACAAAGCGTTAAGTAAATACCTGAAGAGATTTACATGATTTTCTTTCCTTCTACAAACAAAAGCTGGCGGTTAACAATAACTTTTATGTAAAATGTACCCTTGCATGACGACACTAAACCAAGATACTGGATACTCGAAATGTTAATGCCTGAGTTACACACCATGAACTTTAGGTTGTTCATTTACGACCATCATTATAATACTACTAAGCTCACCCTTTCATGTGTTTATTTTCTTTAATCACACCACAGCCACTTTCAGATATCGAAATTGGCATGTCTAGGTATCCTAATCTGCCTTGCTGTACAACAAAACTATAGGCCCAGAAACAAAATAATTTACCAGTCCACATATTGAATTGATTTTCCTTGCTTGAAATTTACAACATGAATATACTGGACGTAATTACTTGCCCGACTGGAAATCTGTTATCTGAAACATAATTTTAACAAAATAATTTGAAACTTAATGGCACCTAGTTATGGATGACTAAACAGTGACAATGAATCAACAGTAAATAATAATCGGTGCAAAGTGTTGTCACATGTTTCATACTAAAGGACAAAGGACTTTACATATAAAAGAGAAGCAATCTATGCAAAATATGTATGCATGATATCCTATTAAGCAGTACTGATAGCTTT